CTAATGTATATCTTTTTAGATCTATTTCCTAGTATATTTATATGCATATAATTAGGCATATACACATAATGTAGTTAATATGTAGAGAAATTTAATACAGGATGAGCCGTAGATGACGTTTAAATGAAATGTAGATAAAGAATATACAACAAATAGTCAAACGTTAGTCAAAGAAAAAAGTTGATGAGACAGCGTTCAATTTTAATAAATGTACAAGTAAATTTACATGCGAGATGAATCCACATCCAGCAGAAAACGAATGTGGGGATCACTTCAAACAGAGTGTAATTTTTCAAGGTTATATGATAAATGGTGACATTAACATAATAATAACGATAACATTCCAACTTTAGCGTAACAACATTGAATTGACAACAAGGCACTGAATCAATATGATATAGACATTGAAACTGATATTCCACTGAGTGCTAGAAGTATAACTAGTTGTTAATATCCCACTCATTTTAAAGTTCATAATAACTGCATGAACAAAGTTAAATATTGATTTACAACATTTTTTTGCGAAAGTTGTAGAGCTAATAAAATCAGTATTCATCAAAATAGTAAATCGGTTGAAAATAAAGGGGAACAGTACAAGAGTATTCAATTAAAAAAGTCTGCAATGTACATGTGCATAACATTTTGATCACAAAACTTTCACCAATAGACTAATTTGAGATTAGGTCACGTTCTGAACTGAACTGTCCTATCAGAGAATTTTTCAGAGCAAAGTCGCACAAGAAATAACGCCCGGAGAAATACCCTCAATTCTCTACAATAGAAAGGTTGGCCCAATCCTCAACATGGCAGAACATAATATTTTAATTAACTAACCATTATACTAAACAAAATAAAACAAAGCATGAGATTTAGTTCATAAAATGTAGTGTTTAAAATAATTCATAAGAATTTCAACTGGGAACAATCAATGATCATAACGAACAAGAAATAAATAAGTAGTAGTGGAAGATAAAATAAATAATTTTGATGAAAGGAATTTGAAAATGAATGAATGAATGAACGTCAGTAAGTACTACCTCAGAGAAAACGTTCAAGTAGATTTATTTTGAGTTTATTTTTGAATTTGTTGTTTTTCTGTGATCTTAAGGAATCTGAGGGAAGATTATTCCAAAGCATAGGGCCAGCATACGATAGTTTTCTAATGGAAGTGTTCATTTTTGGTACAGCAGCCCCCCCCCCCCCATTTTTATGTCGAGTGTTGATATTGTGATGGATATATTTAAAATTGTGCATGGACAAGTTCATAAATGGAAAAGATGAATTAGTAAAGCTTGAAGATGTCAAGGATTTTGAGTTGTTTAAACATGGGTGCAGAGAGCACGTTGAAATCGGAGAATGTTCTGGCAATAATTTATGTGTAGTTACAATACTTGTTATAATGTGTACAATATGTATTTCCCCTGAGGTGAGGTGAGGCTGAATCAGTGTATTATAATGAAGTAAGAGAGTTTGCCTGAGGACAAAGTGCCGCAATTTTACCAAAATACCATTTTTTTCTTTAGTAACTTTTTTTGTTTTGGCTATATGTTTAGTTCAAGTGAGATGTTTGTCAATTTCAACGCCAGCAAATGTACTAATTCAGACTCGTTCTCATGATAGATTGATGGAGAGACAGCCTTCTACCTCTAACAATTTACGATGCGCACTTACTATCATGTAGTTAGTTTTGGAATAATGTATCCTTAAACGATTTACATCACAGAAGTATGCTACCCCGTCCATGTGTTTACTTACGCTTGATGAAAATGCATCAAACAGATTCGAATCATCTGCATACAACCTGAAATTAAAAAAGTCAGTTGAGATAAATTGCGATCTATTTTCAAAGTAATTTTTATACAAAGGTTTGGAATCCCCAGTATACCGTAGTAATCCAATTTAGACACAAATATGTAGTGGTTATATGTGTCGAAGGCCTTAGTGAAGTATGGCCCCAATGGTGATCTACAATTTCTAGTAATAAACAACATGATTCATGCAGTTGAGGTTACATGATACCTCCCCCAAATAAAGTTGTGTACAGTTAATTGAGGTCACCGAAAGCTTTTATTTTTTTTAAATAATATATTTAACAATATATTCACTAAATAATTACAGACAAACTAACACGCATGCATAACAAAAAACGCAAAATAGGATTTTTAACTCGCGCATACAGTGGACGCGCTAACCACTGAACCATGCTGGCCAAAGAAACCAGCTTGAAATGGCTTGTGAGGAAAACGCCACCCACAGTTACAGCAAAACAACGTATAGTAATAGAAAAACAGAGAAATAAAGTTACAATCATAAAGTGAAAAAAACACCCAAGGTTACCCGTCTAGCATATAGAAAGCAATACTGCTAGCAAGAATGAAGTTGACACGGTAACAGGCAGTGGAGTAAGATCATAATTTCTACAGCGGTGACTTATGCATTGGTGTTGACATTTATTACAAAAAAAACACAAAAAAATAAACCTTTCCATAAAATGTTTTTTTTTTTTACCCGCACAATTGTCATTCAAACCTATTTACATCAAGCAACAATGAGTTGTAAATCTTGAATCAGTGTGTATCTATTTATGGCAAGCTATATGTGTAGTGTTTAAGGTCTGCCAAAATGCGATATTAATAAAAACGGCAAATTAAATTATTCATATATTTTATTATTTTTAATTAGTTGTTCATGTTTTCCATTTAAAAATCAGAGGCTGTAAAGAAAAAATGTCCAGGATGTCTGCACAAAGTAAGTACATACTGAAAACTTTGCTTGATCGAGCCTAGTCCCAAAGTTCCCAGACTCTGGCATGGACGTTACTAAGATCGTTCAAAATCTTAGTTACCCTGAGAGTTGGTTGTTAACAACGCATCTTCAGCTGTAGTTATGGTATGGTATGATTAACGGTATATTGTGTTTATACAATGTGACCGGATAGCTGTGTAATGTGAACGTTTTTTGTTACTAATATAGATATTTACATGCATTCGGATATTGGTTAATAATATATATATATATATATTAAATAACCTAATTTTAATTAAATTAGACCTTGCTTCAATCATGTCCGAATTTCTTGCGATTCATTTGCGGGTATCGACACGTACTGTCACAACCTGACAGTCATATAATGTTACATAAATCACAAAGGTTATCTTACTTTGAAGTGTTGAAGATATTGATTTTCTTATCTACTAGGCGTGTTTAGTAAATGTAATTGGGCACACCCGCCAACCTGCACAATGGCTGTATTTACTAGTTAATCTGGTGTACTTATTACTTGATGACTTTTACACACACCGAGGAAACTTGTGTTGCTCAAAAATTGACATGGGTTGAATAACCAAAAGTATCTCTGGGGAACACACTGTTTAATAAACTATGTTCTCTCTGTCATGCAGTAAATTATATTTTTTTCAAAATATGCTAAAATTCTTAAGTAAAAATAACGTTCAGTTGTATGGGAAGTGCTTGACAACATTTCAGTGACTGTTATGTAAATAAAAAAAATCATAGACATTTAATTTCAAATATTTACAGTGTAACCCAAGTTCTAGTTGTGTGTATGATAAAACCTCTTCTGGAAATATGCCCTCGAGACAAATGCTTCACTAAAGCAAAGCGCTGTCTGGACAAACATCTCTTCATTGATTATACAGGATGAAGTCCGAAAACGAGGACTTAAATTTAACATTTGTGCCCCGTGTGACATAACATGTTTAAGCTTCACATTTACATAATACATCTTTGGTATTTGCATTCGTGTTGTGATTCATGATGGCCAAAAGGCGGTCATTTTAGTCCTAAAGATCATCAGAATCAAATATTTACGGTATTTCGAAACCAGATCTCGGTTGTGTATCTAAGTATTTCGTTCCACCTTGCTAGATTTATTGGACATTTAATATGTTAATGTACTTTACTTTTCTTGCAGATCGTACAAAGTAATGAACTTCCGTCATTCCCGAACTTGATCCCGACTAGATAGGTCTCCCAGTCCAGTAGAAATGTTATTGTATTGTATGGTAATTTTATGTTTTCACAAGCCACAAGTGATTTACAAATTTGTTCTCAAAAGAACTTATCATATAAAGCAATAAATATACCATGACATGGTCAGCTTACTTGTTGACATTCTAATGGCCAATAATTAATAAGTAACCAACTTGATGCAAAGCTGATGCAATATCGTGGTCAAAGTTCATGCATTACCCACAGTTATCGATACCTTTAAAAATCACGGTAACTGTGTGGGAACTTCAGTTGGACACGACAGGTAGCCATCGAACGAACACGACAGATAGCCATCGAACGAACACGACAGGTAGCCATCGAACGAACACGACAGGTAGCCATCGAACGAACGTGAAACTAACATTATATCAAGCCTAAAATTCACATCCCAGGTTCGAATTCAAAAGTTTATATAAAGCTACAATATGGCAGAAACTGAAACATCCACGTCTAAAGAGGAGGATCACACTTCCAAGGATGAAAATAAATTCAACGATTCAAATGACGTAGTCACTCCATGGAACGTCACCAGCATTTCGTCTGAAGGCGTTGATTATAATAAACTTATAGGTAAGTAGATAAAGTTGTCAACTGAATAAATACTATTCGGACATCACAAGAACTTGACGATCGAAATATGTTGTTTCCAAGGGTGTAACAGGGAATTTCTTAGAAAAGGTGATGCTTCAGCGATTTTGCAGGATCAGTGGTATTCGATTTGGTACGGAATAAACGCAGAAGTGAGTTTTCGCATATTATAACACTAATAAAAATACAATTTAAATGGAGCCGAACCGGTCGCCAATTTTCAAATGGGCTGTATTGGAAATTGAACTGTATAACGTATGTCTTGAAATTCGCATAAATTAAGTCCATCAAATATTACATAAAATAGTCACATGATTCCTCCGAGTACAACATACTTTAAGACTTTATTTGGAAATGGATTTATCAGTTTGTTGATGTCATGTGAAATGGAGTTACAAAGAGACACATGATTGATAAATTGTATTTGATATGGGTACATATACAACACATGTAAAATACTAGTAAATTGTTTAAACCTCAGACAATTAAAAAAACGAGCAACGCCTTACTTTTAAGGTGTGAATCTGGCCTATTAGAGGCCAACGCTTGCATCCATTGTTTGTAGTTTTGCTGAAGATTATATAGATTATACAAATATAACACAATCTTGTGTATTTCATGTACATTCGTGTACAAAGTGTCAAACACGTGATCACAAATTATCAAGTTTCATAACTGACGTTCTTAACATTTCTGGAACAGTCCAATATTTGTGTGAGTAGTATCGTTTTTGAATTGTTGTCAATGTTTCTACGATGTGTACGAAAATGTATTTAGCTAAAGTATATTAATATATTTATCATGATCGTGTCAGATATTTTAGAAATTGTTGTATAGTAGGCAATTCTTTATGTTAACAGTGGTCGTTCGTTTGGCGTTTTCCTAGATTTTTAGTAATTTCTCCCAAACAAGTAATAGTTGTTTGCAGCAGCTGCAAGGTAGACTCATCACAATTAACACTTTCATGACAACTATATTATTTGTATTTCAGATCATTTTGGCAGTGAAAAGATTAAACCAGAATTATTGGAAAGAGTTGAAAAACTGACTGGAAAACCACCACATCGTTTCCTAAGAAGAGGAATATTCTTTTCCCACAGGTGATAAGTTCGCTGATTATAATTCCTAAGATATGTAAATACATATCTCATTGTATTCTCATACTTTATGCCAACTAAACGCCGTTTCAGTCTTCCTTTTGGGGGCAGTGTGTCAAATGTGCCGGGCAGCTCGTACACATTCGACTGTAAGTTAAAATCTCGTTCGTATTTCTTCCACTAAAGTGTTTGGTGGATATATATTACTTATCTTGCTATAGCAATAAATAATGCTATGGATATATCTCTCATTGGTAACTTTGAATTCTTGGCTCAGTTTTAAACAATGATCTAATGTTTGTTTGTTTCACAGAGATATGAATTCGATATTGAACGATTTTGAAAACAAGAAACCGTTTTTTCTATACACTGGTAGAGGTCCGTCATCAGAAGCAATGCATCTTGGTCATCTGATACCATTTATATTTACAAAGTAAGTGATATGTGATATGTTTCAATATTGAAAATTCGACACTGTACATGAATTTATCGTAACAATTAATATTTGTCTATTTATTCTAGGTACCTGCAAGATGCATTTGATGTGCCATTAGTGATCCAGTTAACTGATGATGAGAAATTTTTATGGAAAGATCTAACAGTGGAGAAGGCAAACGAGTTTGCCTACGAGAATGCTAAAGACATCATAGCGTTAGGATTTGACGTCAATAAAACATTTATATTCTCTGATATTGACTATATCGGGTAAGAATCATATGTTAAGTATACCGGGTATTTGATTTGTCTTTGCTCCGCAATCGAAGACATATAGACGTACAATAATTGTTTTCTGATACACATATTTCTGCCATTACGGAACCGTGGACAGATTGTGTTCCAATTTGTTCAGACTGTGTGTGGCACGAAACATCGCGAAGCTTTGTCAACATCGATTTGTTTTACAGAGCAGATTCAAAATGATTGATAGCCGTCAATTTAGTTTTAAAATTTGCTATCCTAGAGTCATGTACCTTGCATGCATAACATGTATTCGTTTCAAGTTCTGATTCCAAATGACTAACTCATGACTAGTGTAGTAATAATGAACTATAATGCAAACATTTCTACGATTTTGGATGTAGAATTCAGACTTACCTCATTGGGGTTCGTTTCAATTGGTACATAATTAGATGGTTTGCCAGACTCATCTGTATAATGTCTTGTATGGGACAACCATGGGACAATCACTACTATATACTCTTTTAAGGAAGAGGTAGGAGAAATGTGTTGTTTCATAACGTGTATTTCATTGCAGTTCATCAACAGCATTTTATCAAAACATGATTAAAATACAGAAGTGTGTAACGTTCAACCAAGTGAAGGGCATATTTGGGTTTAATGACAGTGATTCTATAGGTATGTGTTCGGTTTAATATGATTTGATGCATTAGTGAACAACTACTTTCTCATATCTGTCGTGAAAGTAGGTATTGAAAATATCATCAGACGTTGGAGTGTCTAGGGCTCTTTGTCTTTCTAAACTTGTGTTATTTTAATTGCCAATGGCATGAATTAACATTGCATTTATACGTGATGGATGGAAAGCTCTGCATCATTTATTTACTGAGAATAATTACTCAGAATCATATATAAATGAATGAAATATTATGAAACATTTACTTTTGAAGACACCTGTGCTTCATTCAAATCAAAACAACATACGGTTTCATAAGCCATATTTTCATACTTCATTATAGAAGACATTTGTTAACGCCCATTACAAACGAGTTCTTGTGAATTTACTGTGACGCATCCGATAACGCGTGATTGGTCAAATTTTCTGCAGCTTTCAATTAAAATGTGTAAAGCATTTTGAAATATTTACCGTAGAAACATTCTCATCTGCGTGAAATTAACTGTGCTAATAGAGAGATGAAACAAAGTTTATCATTTCTCGTAATAATATTAATGGCCCCGCTGTGTGGTTTCCTCATTTGTCTGTACCATGACTTAGAGGAATGTACCTAATATTTAATTCCATTCTGTTTTAATTAAGAAAATTAATTAAGAGTTAAGACATATTTCATTGTCCTTGTAGGGAAGATCAGTTTCCCAGCCATTCAAGCAGCACCTTCGTTCAGTAACTCTTTCCCGGATATATTCGGAAGTCGTAGTGATATACACTGTCTTATACCTTGTGCTATAGACCAGGTGAGTACTATTCCAAAGAAGGCGTGTTAACCTAGTTCTCCAGTTTCTTATCAAAAATTTGAATCGATAACCTCTTGCTGATATCACTTAGAATGGGATTGACATTGATGGCAGAAAGGCATGGCTGACTGTAAATATGTTAATGAGTTTGAGAGAGTGCCGATATGCTAAAGTGACAGTGATTGGTAGATTATATGGTAAATGAGGCAGTGATTGGTAGATTGTATGGTAAATGAGGCGTACGGGAACAGTGATTGGTAAATATGGATTATAATGCTTATGGGAGAAAGTGAATATTAATGAGTAGCTATGTTTCATACGAGGTCAGCACGAGTACATTATTTTCAGCGTGATGCTATTATTTTGTTTTAGGATCCATATTTTCGTATGACACGAGATGTAGCTCCCAGACTAGGTTACCCCAAACCAGCATTGTTGCATTCACAGTTCTTTCCTGCATTACAAGGTGCACAGACTAAGATGAGTGCCAGTGATCCAAACTCTTCGATCTTTCTCACAGATGAAGCTGAAGACATTGAAACAAAGGTGAGGTGTTTGTAATGTTACGAATAATTTTGGTGCTACTATTTCATTTATTCGATATTGCGTCACAACAAAAAGTTCTGGCTCTCCTATTGAAGCCAGTTAGTATTATGTTATTGTAGAATATTCTAGCGTTACTATTTGGCGTCAGTCTAGCGTTACTATTTGGCGTCAGTCATTGTTATGTCATAGCTAAATAATATAGCATAACTCTTGAAGTCACTCGTTGTCATGCCATAGCCTAGTAGTCATTTTTACACGATGACTGCAATGGACCTATTGTTGAAGTCGGTCAGTATAACGTCACGGATGAGTGATTTGGCGCTACTGTCAGAGTTAGTCATGAATGTAAGCTTGTTTGTTGTTGACTCTTCCATTTAATGGGGTAGTTGTCCTGAACGTCTGGGCATATATCTTCCGTTTTAAATGTCAAATTATTTGTCCTAGAACTTGTATAAAGTTATTACGTTACAGTCACTGAAGTAATGTGTCATGGGCATGTAATACATTACATAGCACCTAACCACAGTGACTATTTAAGAATTTATGTCTAAATTGATCACATTCCTTTGAACTTTAAATACCACAGGAAGTCTCAAATATTAAAAAATGTTCAAAAAACGTGAGTTTCAAATCACCACTTCAAACTTGAGGTATTTGCAATAACCATTGCCTATGTGATTATAGTTATAATAACACACTTTTGATTACTGTTGTGTCCAATATTCAAATTCCTTTATTTGCAAGAACGGCAAACTATTCATGACATCGAATTCCATGAGGATTTTGTGATATCATGAAAGCACTGATGTACAATGGTATGCATATGCGCACAGACGTGTCAATTTAATAATATGTTTTTCAGATTAACAAGTATGCATACTCTGGTGGCGGTATTACGGTGGAAGAACATAGGAAGAAAGGGGGAAATTGTGATGTGGACATCCCATTTCAGTATCTGAAATTTTTCTTTGAAGACGATCAAAAACTGGATGAGATCAAAGAAGTAAGTATGGTCAATTTATTATAATTACACTATAATCATATCAGTTGACCTTATCGGCTATCAATACCTCATATTCAAGAACACAAAACAACTTACACAACACAATCTGAGAAGCACACTACACAACATAGCCAAATCAGTAAGACAAACTACCTATTTGTTTCCCATCAAATCACAATATTTCTCCATGGAAGATGATAACAGTTTTTCATGAAAAGCTCCTGATCGGTTTTCCACGCAACTGCTGTCACCTATTTTGGCAAGCCACTATCTCCCGCATACTTCTAGAGATTACGTTGATCTGAAATTTGTTGTTTTAACATTGACTATGTGCTACCAATACCGTAAATACATATTTTGCAATATTATATATTTACTGAAAAAAGCATACGTGTTTAACTTATGGATAAAATCAAATTAAAATTCCTCTGAAACAATGCATCATTTGATCAGAAGTACTCTGAATTATAATCATCCTGTCAATGGATATGTCCCAGATAAATATGTGTAATTCCAAAGATATCAAACAGATGATACTAAAAATCAGATATATATCGTTCAAAATGCCAACCATCTATGGTGCATATTTCAGTAATGTGACTTCAATTTGTGAGCGTTTCTGGGAATAAGACTTGGCTTATTTCTCAAGTTACCGTATTTTTTGTTTATATCTATGGGTGTCACTGTACTACTTTATTTAAAAATGTAACCAGCTATGTAACATTTTTAGTTTTTAATGAAAACTACTACGTGACCGTTTCCTAAAATGTACCTGCCCGAACTGATTTCTTTCAAATGTGTGCTATGCTGCTTGCCTGCATGCCACTATAATGGGTATGATTTTGATTCATTTCTGTATTTTGTCTATAGAGTTACAATAGTGGTAAACTGCTTACTGGTGAGCTGAAGAAAATATTAATAGATATCTTGAAACCCATGGTTAGATCTCACAGAGAGCGCAGAGCTGCAATCACTGAAAAAGAGGTTAAACAGTTCATGACACCAAGAAAGTTAGCTTTTGACTATTAAATATTATCGCAACAAATAACTTCAACTTCTGTGTCATTAGGTAAATAATCGAAATACGCCTGACATTTTTATAAAATGATGTTGCATAACATTCATTTTGTTTGATATTCACTTGATGTTGTACATTTATACTTAACACTTCACGTTCGCTTCCATTTATACAACCCCGAGTTGGTGTCCAACAAGTTATACTCAAATATACCCAACACTTATATTCAAGTTTGTTTATATATAAATATACTCAACAATCTACCTTCATTCAAATTATATTCAGCACCCTAAATCATCATTCATTGAGCATTGAAACAATATGTCATACTGAATTGCATACAAATCAATACTTGCTTAGACAACTGAAATAGAAGTTGAATTTTTAGATGCCTTGGCCTGTCTTTGCCAACAAATGAAACATTTATAGAAGGAAAATACCAAAATACTCCAATGAAAACAAACATAATGTTTACTTTAAATACACTATGCGTAATAAATCCAAGTCAATCACTTTTTGGTAAAAATGTTTTTAATCTTTAATTGATGATGATCATTGATCTCAACAATTTTCATTTGTTTAGTCATGTATCTTATATTTGCTGTAGTTCACTGTAGGTTTTAGTTAAGCCATTCCTATTTGTTTTGTTCATTGTATTTCAATGGATGTTAAATGATTGAATAAATATAAATTGTCTCAACACTGCTATTTTCTGCCATGAACAGTACAAATGTACTTCATTTAGAATAGACTATTGTTAATACGGTTGCACATAATATTGTATCCGTTAGGCTGGAGCTGATTTAAACTTGTCTTTGAAATATAATGACAATGCAGGATTATTAAAGACAGTCTAACGACTAATAACTGGTGATAAACCAATGGTATTTGGGTTTTGTCTGGCTGGTCGTTATGCGCCATAGTTTTAACCGGATTAAAAAAATCCTTGAAAGAGGGCACCTGGTGAGCTTCATATCGTTTGGCTCAGGTGATCTGCGTATGTACTCCTTATATACGAGTTAATAGTGTTTCAGGTCTGCATTGTGACATAAATAGAGATGAAATGTTCACATAGGTTGATAATGACACTTTATAGCCGTGCTGACTTGTTTGCAGGGTACCTACATGTTTATAGTGTGTTTGTCTCATTCATAAGGAAAGTCCACTAAAAAAGCAATTACGAAGGCAGACCCAAACTATTTGCGCTCCGAAATCATCAATGATTATTTGTACGACAGTTTGGGCTATACTGTAATATTTTGCAATTTGCGTGGTTTTACTAAATATGGACTGATACAGAGTGTTGCGGTTGAGTGGGAACTCGTATTGGTAGAGTATGCCTATCATGCTGAACCATCTTGAAATGTGCCCCCCCGCTTAGTTGTCATGCTATATTTCATATTTGTGAGATTATATGTGAGCAATGTCATATCAAGGACACATGCCTGTATTCACAGGTTAGTGTTGAAGGTTATTAGAGACTCGTTGCCATTTGCTGACCTGCAAATAATAAAATCACAGTAACGTCTAGAACAACATTACTGTGACAAAAACACACCCAATTGTTATTTACGTATTGTTAATAAATTAGAACAGAAGGCGTCTATGAGCAGCAGGTGTCAAAACACCCTTCAAAATAAAATAAAATAAAAACAATACTTGTTTCTCTTTTATATATTCACACAATAGTCACCCTTATATTATATTATTGATCTTGGCTGATAAGTACCACATACTTGTCATTATGTGCTGGACAGTGTCTGTTACTAACGAGTCTGTCAAATGTCAATGCCCTTGAATGATATATACAACAAATAAATTTATTCGAATGAAAATATTTCTTGTAGATCCAATATGACAGAGCAACCTCGAATGACTGCTAAAGTTGTTATACGTGAACCTGGTGGATCGTCTTGTCTGCCCAAAGAATGAGAAATGGTCTGAAATCTGAAATCGGATCTCAAAAACACGTTGATAAATGTGGAAACCAAAATATTATACACGCCTTACATATACATAATAAACTTTATGATCGTAAGACCACCTGAAGTATAAGAAATAGTCCTGGTTTCTTAAATCTAACATGGCCACTGAACCATGTGGCCAATTATAAAGCAATTCTCAACAAGCCAAATTTAAATGAATGTAGTTACTGTTTGTGAAGAGGTTTATAGCGTTGAAAGTCCCATGAAGTTCTATAGTTTGTATTTGTGATGTTATTCTAGAATATATAAATGACTGTCAACCATGGTACACCAATTCATATTATCCCCTATCAACATAAAACTTATGAGGCCATTTCTCAGCAGTTCAAACAAACAAACTCGCGAAATATAAACAGTGAAATTAGAAGAAAATCCAGTCAACAAATACAACTCACTCCCCCCCCCCACACACACACACACAGATACAACAAATAGTTTCTACGCATTTAAATTGCCGAGGTCCGTAGTTTACTGTGTCCACTATTCTCCACAAGAAGTAGTATACCTCAACAATTCTATTGAGTTCATCCAAAAGTGCGAAATCTTTCAACAAACCTGAACCATGGCTAGCATACAGAAGGGCGAAAACCGTAATCTATCACCCCAATATTCACAATTAGAACGTTCTTTACCCATCCGTGGACTGCACCTACTTTCAATTACATATACAACAAATTCAATCAGTGAGTCCGCACACTATACCAACACAGTTGTTACATATCTATATCTATGGCAGGTTCAACCATCCTGTCTCTTTCATTAAACAGCATCATGATCGAACAAAAGGGTTTTGCAGCATTTTTTGGTCAAATAACAATATCCAAAATGCAATAAATACCATGTTTCAACAACACTGCCTAACCATATCAACTTCACCAGTGAGTTGTATCACCGCCCTGAAAGAAACAATAACGAAAGAAATCAAATTAGGTCATATCAGCTGCCCTTCATAAAACAAACCAGGTAGGTAAATCTTTAGGTGTTTGCATAGAAGGAATGAAGGAACAAATCTCTTCAGCTGGTGATAGTGTAAATAACAAAAACCAAAAAGCACAAATCGGAAAGTATGGTCGTGGTTCACAAATAGCCAAGATCTATTTCAAGCATTTTGTTGTTACCATTGTGGCAGATATCTACTTCTACAGAGTCTTGCCTGTTTCCCTTAATCATATCATACGTGTTCAACAGGATCTCAACATTTATCAGTTTGATAACACAATGCCAAGCGAACACCAACACCGCTACACTGCCTTGATGTTTCTTCACAGTAGGCAAACCTAACACCAGAACTGTATTATGTTCTACAGTCACACATATGTAACAAAATAACGGGATTTTTGTCTTCAATCCTGTGATCCCCTTTATTTTGGGAAAATTCATTTGAACGCTCTGGTCGGGAACTTTGTTGCTCTCATCATGACACAAGTCAAATATATGTCTTTGTCTCTTGTCATTGGATCGGCCTCTACAACGCTGGATACGGATTCACTGTGTTGACAATGGTGACAAGTCCCCTAGAGGCTCTTGGGAAAAGGTCGTACTTTATAATGTTTGGCAGCAAATCATGTTTATCACGTCAAAAATCGGTTTATCGATGTTACTATTGATTGTACTGACATTGTGATTACCTCCAACAGTAGCAATCAGATAAACTTTATACACATAAAAATGATTCTTACTGTAAATAAAGTTCATCGACGGTTCTTTAAGTTAAAACAAAAATGATTGCAATTGATCACATTTCATAAGATGTCACGAGGGCACGTTATATTGTTCCATAGAATTCTAGTTTCTATAAAACATCAGTTCGTGGTATTTTGACAACCATTATTCGTACAATGATTGAAATCATACTTTAGTTACGTAACGTGACACAATTCCTATCTGTATGGTGAGTAGCAACGAAACAATGTTACGATTAACATATTGTATAATGCTATTTTGTCGGCATAGTGTGTAAGTATGATACTTCTTGGAGGGTGAAACCAGAATCCGACATACAAAGTCTGAATCGCCGAGATTAGAATGTATCTATTGGAGTGTAACGTTCTGTTAAGCTTTCACATCTTGAAAAGAAAATTACTACTTGTTTTTGCATTTAAAATACACATTTGCTTTGCTGCTCAGCCTCCCTGTTCATTAAGTGGTATATCCATTTATTTAGGTGGATGTGATTGGATAACAGATTATTAGTATGCTATAAAAAGATTTCATTACAGATTTCAGTACTAATCTGCATTAGGTTGCCCCACTTCAAAGAGAAAACGAAGAAGGAAAGACATTCCTAGTATATTTCGAGCATATTTTGCTTAGCACAACATTAAAGATGAGCTGTCCAGTGGCAAGGTAAGCGATGTGTTCATATTGTAATTGTTTATATCATTACCATTTACGTATTAGCAAAATAAAACACTTACTGTGAATCTCGAAACATGGAGACAATATTGTTCTGGTCCAGAGATCTTAAGAATGTTGACAACATTGTTATGCTATGTGGCATCACCATTTTACCGACAAATACATATAGGCATAAGGAATTGCACGTTAGTTGTTGTTTTGACTGTCAACAGTCTACATTGTTCTTGTGTCATTGTGTATAGTAGTTGTTTTTCGATCAGCCTAGAATTGTAACCAGAATATAATACAACTATTAATGATTGTCAATTATATCTCCACAAATAGTATAGTTTTCGCAATATGCATTCATGAAAAGATCATCATAATATCAAACCAGGGAAAACACATAATTGAGTCAAATAATATAAAAACTAACATGTATTTACTCGTTGTTTAGAATTCATTGTTAACTACTAGCAAACCATTATTGTAATATGTTCCTACGCAGTCCTGACACTAAGCAATCGGATAAATCTTACAATGCGGCTGCTAATAAAGCGAAGACTTACGGAGAGTATTTACAACTCGATAAACTGTTATCAAGTCAGGGGATGAAAAGTAAAGCGCACGACGAACATATGTTTATTATAATACACCAAGGTACGTTAAATACAACACACATTAAACTATCGTCTTATATCGAAAAGCTTGTCCCAATATACGCTGTTCTTTTAAGTCATGCATGGGTGTTTTGGAGACATATTTGCTTAATCTTGAGTGACAAGCAAATACTAAATCAAATATATTTCGCAACTTAAATGATATTGTTTACGCCCATTCTACGTCATTTTCTCGCTTCCTTGTCGCTTGAGGGAGCGACTTCTTTGAACGGCGTATTGGGTCCTCACTTATTGCCGTTAATCATAAATCTTTGTTTACATAAATACGGGTTTCTTTCTGATATATTGGTGTCTTCTTTATCCCAGTGTACGAGCTTTGGTTTAAACAAATTATTTTCGAAATTGATTCTGTCCGCGGTGTGTTTGAAGAATCGTTCGTGGATGAGCGTGAGATGTTTGTCGTTACATCAAGATTGAAAAGAGTTGTACAAATACTGAAGGTAGGAATATAAACCAATATTTTGTTATTGAAATCTTTTTTTACAAAATTCATAATAATATGCTGACACACTTGGGATAGTATGACATTCGTTCTTTTTGATTGTATATGTTGATTAAGGCATGAACTCGAACATTGTCCCACAGCTTCTGGTAGACCAGATTGGAGTTATCGAAACGATGTCGCCAATGGACTTTGTTGAGTTTCGTAACATGTTAGGATCTGCTTCCGGGTTCCAGAGTTACCAGTTCCGGGTATTAGAAAATAAACTTGGTCTCCCTCAGGTAAAATAGTTTATTTGATGATTTGTATGGATGGATGGATGAATAAATAAATAAATAAACAAACTTAAATGAATAAATAAATCATCTTAAATAAATAAATCTTCTAGAACAAAATGTAAGTAGTAAATATTGAAATATCTCATTTATATATATATATTTCATAATACAGGCAAATCGTCAAAAGTACAGCCAGAAAGACTATAAAACGGTGCTTGAGAGTGAAACGGACAACATGTCAACTGTAGTAAAATCTGAAACTGAGACGTCCTTGTCAGAACTCTTACAGGTGAGTCAAGACTCAATTTTGGATATAAAATGTAACATCGTGTAGTTAAATCTTTTAGGCGACAACAGTCATCCAACTGAACCAATTGTGCTGCAACATTCAGACAAAATGTCTTTGTTTTTGGAATACGTGTAACACACTTGGAACTATAGGAGCAGTAGCAAAGAGCGTTACATTTATACCGTCCTTCAAACACTTATTTACACATACATTTGAATGATGATTTGGAAAACATTGACAGAAGTAAGCCAATCTAGATTTCATATTTCATAGAGGTGGCTAGAGCGAACACCTGGTATTGAGAAAGATGGCTTCAATTTTTGGAGCAAATTTAGCGACAAGGTTAATGAGATGTTACAGAAACAATACAATTCAAACCAGGTAAGTAATCTCGCATGTAAAGAAAACTATCTCTCTATTTTACCTTTGTTAAGAATACAATGAGCTACCTTCCGTTTTGAACAAGATGTTGAATACAATACCCTACTTGATCTAAATACATATCCGAATCTCGCAGATGACAATTGTCAACTCCTACAATTTAATGGCCAGTCATTTTATACATGATGACTTGAATATAACGATTATCTTTGAATTGTATTAAATAGGACGATCTAGATCAGAGCGCAAAAGATAATTTAAAAATTCAATATCAGAAGCAACGTGAAACATTCGACTCTATCTTTAACGAGGACAAGCACAAGGAGCTTCGATCCAAGGGTAATTCTTTGATTCAACAATTTATTGCATCAAAACAAATCATTTAATTCAACTAAATATGTAGATTAACCAATAACACATAAACGATAAGTCAATCAAACACAATATAACATGATATTCGACTCTGTAGAATAACTTGCTTTAAAGGAGACTGGCCTGTAGAATACTTGACTAAAACACTGAGATGAAATAGTAGAAATACCAATGAAACCTGCAAACAAAGTACAAGTGGTGCAATGTCTATTTAATTTACAACATCATCGATATGAACTAGCTACAGGGCAACTTACATGGGGACCATATTTTTTTGTATGGTAAATCTGATAAATATTTCATTCATGTTATGTCGTAATATTGTATATTATTAATACATGATTGGTGGGAATAAAAATAGTTTCCTCCCATATAAAATTATGACAGTTCATTTTATTGATCACTTTCTATTTATAACATGGAACCTTATACTATTTTGGTATTCAAGAATCTTATCCTTTAGAATTTGTGAAACAACAAACCTATCCTTACCACATCAGAATAATTCCTTAAATGCTTTTTGTGAAAAGATAATAGAAAAAAGACCACGATATTTGCGGAATGTAGTGTTTAGTTGTTAATTCACAGGGGATAGAAGATTTACTCACAAGGCTTTTCAAGGTGCCATGATGATATTTTTTTACCGAGACGAGCCGAGATTTAATCTCCCATATCAGATGCTCCAATTACTCATGGACATTGATGCCTTAGTCATGAAATGGAGATGTAAGTATTGAATAAGCTGTAAACTGTAAAATAAAAATGTGTGTTTGGTTACAAAGCTCATGTCATATCAAGTCGAGATAATTGTCACATGACCCTCATATACTTTCGCACCTAGATACCCACGTGTTAATGGTGCATAGGATGTTAGGATCTAAACCAGGAACTGGGGGGTCGTCCGGTGTTGATTACTTAAAATCAACTGTGACGTAAGTGATTAATTACACTTCCCCATCGAATGAACTGATTTATAGACGCATATTTAATAAAAGGTGGTGGTTGACAACAAATGATAACGACTTTTAGAGAATGTGACATTTACAAATATACTTTTCTATTTTCATCTTACCTAACCACAGTGACCGTTACAAGGTGTTTTTGGATCTTTTCAACTTGTCAACATTTCTAATACCACGTTCAGAGTTGCCAGTTCTTGATTTGCAAATGATGAAACAACTGAGCAAACCATCTAGCAGTGCAGAAATTGCTGAGTGATTCTTAAACTGCTGAATAGCAATAATGGCGTCCATCGATTGATGAAATGGATTGAACGACGAATAATGAGACGTATCATTCACTGAAGAAGCTGGGACATTTTCTAATTAGTTTTGCATGCCTTGGAGTGTATTTTCTGGTTCTTATTTTATCTTGAGTCTTTTCTTTGTCATATAGATAAGTGAGAAGCAAAAACTTTAAAAAATTATTTTAAAATTAATTGTAACTGCTTTATGTATTTAATTTGTATAATAGTATAGAAAACAAATCAGCACGTACTATATAAAGGTGTTCATTATTTTTCGACAAGTTCTGTGGTTTTGCCATTGGTCGCAAATTATTACCACATTCTAAATATTGTTTAAACAGATTAATGTGACTACATACAAGGAGAGACAATATAGAAAACTGACTTGGCATCAGAATAATTTAGATTTGGGTAAGACAAGTTGCTTAGCTACTGTGGAACAAACTACATAATGGTTTTTATAGGGCGACTAGTTCTAGTTCTCGTTTAAAGATGATTTCCTTTCTTTTATTTGCATATGCAGAATATAACTTGTAATTTCATAAACGTCAAATAATTGTTTCTTTGCTGCAGAATTGTATACCTTGCAGTGTGTGTGTTTTTTTAATTCTGCCTGTTGATTCTGTGAGTTAAGTGTGCTGAACGCTACTTCTCGGTGCCTTTAAAGCAACCAAGCGCTTGAGGACTGGCGGTCATCTTGTTTATTTTAGCGAGCTATATCTAAAATATTTGGGAAAACATCGAAATTACAAAATACAAATATTTGTTTTCTGTGTTTGTTTCATTAAAATTCTTTACTAATTTCGGGGAAGAGTAGACAAGGCAAGCAAGCACGCCGTCGCTCTGGACGCACCCAGGGCCCGGGGCAATACATAGAACTTGTCTAATAGGGACGTGCCCCTGAAATGGGTCTCGTTTTTCGGATTTTAGGTATAAGTATCGGTCTTATTTCTGGTCAAGATAAGTATAAATATCGGTAATATTATTCACATTTGGTATAAATAACCTGAACATTGTGTTAATAATATGCTCTTATGTAAGTGACAGAGCTGTTTCTATGGTCGAAATACATATTTTAATAAATCAATATACAATGCAACTGTTGGCTTACATGTGTTCCTATTGGAGATGCTCTTCCAATAGAGCAAATACGGTAACTGTTTTATTTGGAATAAAGAGTGATGACAGAAATGGTATTTTGGTATAAATATGGGTATATATTTTGTTACTATCCAGGTATAAAAATGGTCACACTTTTCAGCACTCGAGGACAATCCCCCCCCCCCGGACCCAGGGTTGTATTGTTTTCAGTGTCAGAGGGCGTGCCGTGACCTTATTTCGTCACATTAAAATATTACTCCAGTTCAGCGGGATTGCGAATTGTACATTTGCATGAGTAAACATGCGGACTAAATCATGGCGTAAAAGGCATTTTTTTATTTGAAAAATAAGCTAAGTAAACAGTTTAAAACAGGAATTGAATGGCGTCCTCTCTCTTTCTTTGTTTAGCTCCACGGTTTGGCAAATCAGTTTTTAAAAGTTCTTATTCCGAAAATTCCTAACTGTCTGACATTCACCAAGACCGGAAATGGTTATATTTTTGGCCGTTTTTGAAAAAATAAAACACTTGTGGTGCAAATTATCTTATTTTTTTAGTTTAATCATACTAATTTCAAGAACGTTGTTATGTTTTAGAGTGGCAAATCACTTTTCCTACATTTTGGGGCTGTCTGAAAATCATTCGAAGGGCTTATCGGGCTATTCTAAGTGTGTCCTTGGGTCGAATTATAAATTTTGAATGGACAAAAGGCATTTTTACAACAGAATTTGTAGCTCCACGAAACCCATAACAAATTTCCTTGCGACTGCAGCACATTTTTTATGAAGAGGCAAATCAACATTGCTTGTCTGTCTGACAACGTTCATGTTTGTTTTATTTTACAAGCCAAATTATTGTAGAGGTAAAAACAATTCACCAGTTGTAGTCA